TGAGGCAGGAGAATTACTTGAACACATGAGATGGAGGTTGCAATGAACTGACATTGTGCCTCTGCACTCCAGCCTGTGTGACAGAGTAAAACTCCATCTCAAAAATAAATGAAATAAAATAAAAAATTAGCTGAGTGTTGTGGCACACTCTGATAGTCCCAACTACTCAGTAGACTGAGGTGGGAGGATTGCCTAAGCCCAGGTCAAGATTGCAGTGAGCCATGACTGCACCACTGCACTCCAGCCTGGGTGACAAAGACCCTGTCTCAAAAAAAAAAAATTAATAAAAAGTCATTCATTTCCCCTTTCTTCATTTTGTAGTTTGTTGATATTTAATTTCTCAATTTGTTGTTGTCTTATAATTATATGAGTACTGTAAGCTTAAGGAAGCTATACCTAGTTTTATGGTTACATAAATTTAACATTATAGTAAAATTCAGGAAGAATTCAATGTTGTACAGTATTACAGCTAGCTAGTGGTCTAAGTTGGGAGTATATCAAAAAACAATGGAGTCAATTTTAACAATAGTGAAAAACAAATGGAAATTTGTTCAAATTATTATTTTTATTTTCTTTTGAGATGGAGTCTCGCTCTGTCACCCAGACTTGAGTGCAGTGGCACGATCTTGGCTCACTGCCTCCCAGGTTCCCGCCATTCTCCTGCCTCAGCCTCCCGAGTAGCTGGGACTACAGGCACCCGCCACCACGCCCAGCTAATTTTTTGCATTCTTAGTAGAGACAGGGTTTCATCGTGTTAGCCAGGATGGTCTCGATCTCCTGACCTCGTGATCCACCTGCCTCGGCCTCCCAAAGTGCTGGGATTACAGGTGCAAGCCACCATGTCTGGCCCCTTGTTCAAATTATTAAAGGATTTAATTTTGGTATTTGGTTTGGCTGTGTCCCCACTCAAATCTCATCTTGAATTGTAGCTCCCATAATTCCCACGTGTTGTGGGAGGGACCTGGTGGGAAGTAATTGAATCATGGGGGCAGTTTACCCCATACTGTTCTCATGGTAGCAAATAAGTCTCATGAGACTTATTACCTTGGTTTTATAAGGAGAAATCCCTTTTGCTTGGTTCTTACTATCTCCTGTTTACTGCCATGTAAGATGTGCCTTTCGCCTTCCACCATAATTGTGAGGCCTCCCCAACCACATGGAACTGTGAGTCAATTAAACCTTTTTCATTATAAATTACCCAGTCTTGAGTATGTCTTTATCAGCAGCATGAAAACAGACTAATACAGTAAGCTGGTACTGGTAGAGTGGAGTACTGCTATAAAGATACCCAAAAATGTTTAAGCAACTTTGGAACTGGGTAATAAGCAGAGCTTGGAACAGTCTGGAGGGCTCAGCATGAGACAGGAAAATGTAGGAGTGTTTGGAACTTCCTAGAGATTTGTTAAATGGCTTTGACCAAAATGCTGATAAATGACATAGACAATGAAATCCAGGCTGAGGTGGTCTCAGATGGAGATGAGGCATTTTTTGGGAACTGGAGTAAAGGTGACCCTTGCTATCTTTAGCAAAAAGACTGGCAGTATTTCGCCTCTGCCCTGGAGATTTGTGGAACTTTGAACTTGAGGGAGATGACTTAGGGTATCTGGTGGAAGAAATTTTTTTTTTTTTTTGAGATGGAGTCTTACTGTGTTACCCAAGCTGGAGTGCAGTGACATGATCTTGGCTCACTGCAACCTCCACCTCCTGGGTTCAAGCAATTCTCCTGCCTCAGCCTCCCAAATAGCTGGGACTACAGGCGCATGCCACCATGCCCAGCTAATTTTTGTATTTTTAGTAGAGATGGGGTTTCACCATGTTGGCCAGGATAGTCTCGATCTCTTGATCTCGTGATCTGCTAGCCTCAGCCTCCCAAAGTGCTGGGATTACAGGCGTAAGCCACTGTGCCCAGCCTCTGGCGGATGAAATTTCTAAGCAGCAAACCATTCAAGAGGTGACTTGGGTGCTATTAAAAGTATTCCATTTTAAAAGGGAAACAGAATAAAAATTTAGAAATTTGCAGCCTATGTGATAGAAAAGAAAAACCCATTTTCTGAGGAGAAATTCAAGCTGGCTGCAGAAATTTGCATAAGTAATGAGGAGCTGCCAGGTGTGGTGGCTCATGCCTGTAATCCCAGCACTTTGGGAGGCTGCGGTGGGCAGATCACCTGAGGTTGGGAGTTTGAGACCAGCCTGACCACCGTGGAGAAACTCTGTCTCTACTAAAATTACAAAATTAGCCAGGTGTGGTGGCATGTACCTGGAATCGCAGCTACTCAGGAGGCTCAGGTAGGAGAATCACTTGAACCCAGGAGGCAGAGGTTGTGGTAAGCCAAGATTGTGCCATTGCACTCCAGCCTGGGCAAGAAGAATGAAACTCTGTCTCAAAAAAAAAAAAGGGTGGGGGGGGGCAAATGTTAATTACCAAGACAGTGGGGAAAATGTCTCCAGAGCATGTCAGAGAACTTTGCAGCAGCCCCTCCCATCACAGGCCCAGAGGCCTAGGAGGAAAAAATGGTTTTGTGGGCTGGGCTCAGGGCCCCCTGCTGTGTGCAGCCTTGGAACTTGGTGCCGTGTCCCAGCCACTCTAGCCATGGCTAAAATGTGCCAAGGTACAACTGAGGCCATGGCTTCAGAGGGTGCAAGTACCAAGCCTTGGCAGCTTCCACGTGGTGTTGAGCCTGTGAGTGCACAGAAGTCAAGAACTGAGGTTTGGGAACCTGCACCTAGATTTCAGAGGATGGATATATGGAATCACCTGGATGTCCAGGCAGAAGATTGCTACAGGAGCGGGGCCCTCAAAGAGAACCTCTGCTAGGGCAGTGCAGAAGGGAAATGTGGGGTTGGAGCTCCCACACAGAGTCCCCACTGGGGCACTACTTAGTGGAGCTGTGAGAAGAGGGCCACCGTCCTCCAAACCCCAAAGTGGTAGATCCGCCAACTGCTTGCACTGTGCACCTAGAAAGCCACAGACAACACCAGTCTGTGAAAGCAGCCGGGAGGGGGGCTGTTCCCTGCAAGGCCACAGGGGCACAGCTGCCCAAGGCTGTGGGAGCCCACCTCTTACATCAGCGTGACATGGATGTATGACAAAGGAGTCAAAGATCATTTTGGAGCTTTGAGATCTGACTGCCCCACTGGATTTCGGACTTGCATGGGGCCTGTAGCCCCTTTGTTTTGGCCAATTTATCCCATTTGCAATGGCTGTATTTACCCAATGCCTGTACCCCCATAGTATCTAGGAAGTAACTAACTTGCTTTTGATTTTACAGGCTCAAAGGTGGAAGGGACTTGCCTTGTCTCAGATGAGACTTTGGATGTGGACTTTTGAGTTAATGCTGAAATGTTAAGCAAGTTAAGCAGTTAAGACTGTGGGGGACTATTGGGAAGGCATAATTGGTTTTGAAATGTGGGGACATGATATTTGGGAGACACCAGGGGGTCTGTGGACCTGGTGGTACATAAATGAATCATGGAGGTGGTTTCCCCCATAGTGTTCTCATAGTAGTGAATGAGTCTCATGAGAACTGATGGTTTTTTAAGGGGAAACCCCTTTTGCTTGGTTCTCATTCTCTCTTGTCACCATGTAAGATGTGCCTTTTGCCTTCCACCATGATTGTGAGGCCTCCTCAGCCACCTGGAATGCCTAGCAAATTTTTATATTTTCAATAGAGGCAGGGTTTCGCCATGTTGGTCAGACTGGTCTCAAACTCCTGTCAGGTCATTATTTTTAATATATAATAGTGACAACCTAATACTTGCAATTATTTTTCCTTTAGAAGATGTATACATTAGCTATTATCATCGAAATATATCAACTTCTTCAAGTGTATTTTTGGTATGCAGAAAACAGGCCGAGCATGGTGGCTCATACCTGTAATCCCAGCACTTTGAGAGGAGAGGGTGGGCACATCACTTGAGGCCATGCGTTCAAGACCAGCATGGCCAACATGGTGAAACCCATCTCTACTAAAAATACAACAATTGGCCAGGCACAGTGGCTCATGCCTGTAATCCCAGAACTTTGAGAGGCTGAGATGGGTGGATCACCTGAGGTCAGGAGTTCGAGACCAGCCTAGCCAACACGGTGAAACCCCATCTCTACTAAAAATACAAAAAATTAGCCGGGCATGGTGGTACACACCTGTACTCCCAGCTACTAGGGAGACTGAGGCAGGAGAATTGCTCAAACCTGGGAGGCGGAGGTTGCAGTGAACAGAGATCATGCCACTGCACTTCAGCATCGGTGACAGAAGGAGACTCTATCTCAAAAAAAAAAAAAAATTAGCCAGTTGTGTTGTCACATGCCTGTAATCCCAGCTACTCAGGAGGCTAAGGCAGGAGAATCACTTGAACCTGGGATGCAGAGGTTGCAGTGAACCAAGATCGCGTCACTGCACTCCAGCCTGGGCAACAGTTCTTTTTTCTTTTCTGTCTCAAAAAAGAAAAAAGAAAAAAAATCAATGATTGGCTGGGTGCAATGGCTCAGGCCTATAATCCCAGCACTTTGGGAGACCAAGGCAGGTAGATCACTTGAGCTCAGGAGTTCCAGATCAGCCTGGGCAGGAGCCACCATGCTTGGCCTCTTAATTTCTCTTTTTTTGTTGTTTTCTTTTGAGACGTAGTCTCACTCTGTCACCCAGGCTGGAGTGCAGAGGTGGGACCTCAGCTCACTGCAACTCCCGCCTCCTAAGTTCAAGTGACTCTCATGCCTCAGCCTCCTGAGTAGCTGGGACTACAGGCACGCATCACTATGCCCAGCTAATTTTTGTATTTTTAGTAGAGATGGGGTTTCCATGTTGGCCAGGCTGGTCTTGAACTCCTCACCTCAGGTGATCCACCTGCTCCGGCCTCACAAAGTGCAGGGATAACAGGCGTGAGCCACCGTGCTCGGCCCCAGGCATAGTTTTAAATGACATTTATCTATTGGCTTTTCCACTGAGTTTTTAAACTGAGTGATAAACTGATAATTTTTAACCATAAAGAAAGTTAACAACCCCTTATAACCACTTTGAAGTTTATTTTACAGCACTTTAATTGAAACATTATTTAACTACTGACCAGGACTGTTTACAAATGTGATGCTTGGCCTTCGAGACGATTAAAAACCTTTAAGTACTAAAATTTTACATCATGATTTAACTTAAGTGTTATGATGGTGAAAACAGAAGAAAATCTAAAGCAAACATACAATGATTTCCACAAAAACCATGTATTTCCCCCTTAAAGGGAGGAAAGAAAGAAGGAAGAAGAAAAGGAGGGGAAAAGGGGGCGAGAAGAAAAAGAAAGAGTGCATGATAAGCAAGAAAAATGCACTTTCCCCCCAATTTGCAAAAAGAAGGGAAACTCTGAGGTCTCAGCAAATTAGGTACTCAACTGAGTCAGTTTATATTAAGGCATTTTCTTTACATATTATTGAATCCCATCATGCCTTTCATGTTGCCAGCAGCACCCTGTTGAAACTGCCTCATCATTGACTGAAGTCCTGCCATACCACCTAGGGCAAAAGTAGGGAAGTAGAGTTAAAAACAGATAACTAAGCAGAACTGGAAACATTTATTACTTTTACCTAATAAGTACTTCTAAAAATACTGAATTCTGATTGCAATTTAGTTATCAGCCTTAAAGAACGAACCACCTAAAAATTTATATTATCCTCATCAATAAAAGAGAATGAATAATAGCCTGTCTTATGGAGTTATTGTGAGGAATAAATGAGGTGATACATAAAAAGATCTTAGGATACTACCTGTCACACAGTCAATACATCTAAACAAAAAATTTTTTTCTTATCAATCCAAAAGGGTCTTACTCTAAGTTACATAAAAAATAATCAATAGGGGATTATTCCACAGGACTTACAAAAATAAAAGAATTCATTTATTGAACATCTACTATATGCCCAGAATTTTACTGAATGTCTTCATATATATTACCTCATTTAATTGTCACAATTTCTTGATGAGATATGATCTGTGATTTTACCAAAGGGGAAAGTGCAGTTCAGAAAGTTTAAGGAGCTTTGTAAAGGTTATACAGTCAAAGTAGAACTGAAGTTAAAAATCCTCAGTCATATAATTAAAAATATCCAGGTTCTAAAACAGATATGTGACTAAAAAGTCACCAGAACAAACAAACAAAAGACAATTAAACAGCTTGCTCAAACATCACAGAGATGGCAGCAGAAGAGTGAATAAGACCTCACCTAATAAGCCCTATTACAATTTAATTCAACTTAGGATTCAGATGACCATTTCCCTGAAATCACACCTTTTGAACAGATTTTCGTAATATTACAACAAAAGGCTTATATCATTCAAACTCAACCCTTATAAATTAAACTGCATTAGCAACTGCTAACAACTTGGTATTTACCCATGTGATGTAGAACTCTAGGATCCATCATTTTGGCCATTTGTTGGTTCAATTTTGCCATCTGTGACTGGCTCACATTCTTAGACATGTCACCACCTGAGGAAAAAATAAAAAGATTTTGAGTCAGTACAGGAGGTAATATAATCAGTATAACCAGAGTATAATAGAAAGTTTGATGAAGTGAGTAAATACAAAGAAAAAAATTACATAATCCTATCACTCTAACAAAATTATTTCTATTTCTACATATTCCTTTCTAATCTTTATCTCAATTACATACTATTTTTTGAAGAAGGACATATAAAATTCTATATAAAAGGATATTTAAAAGCCTTTCTTAAGGCTGCAATTTATGCTAATACTTTATTTGTTGTGAATAAGCCACTATTAGCAAAACTGTACCCAGTGTTTTATTTTTTATTTATTTATTTTGAGAAGGAGTCTCACTCTGTCACCCAGGCTAGAGTGCAGCAGTGCAATCTTGGCTCACCGCAACCTCCGCCTCCCAGGTTCAAGTGATTCTCCTGCCTCAGCCTCCCAAATAGCTGGGATTACAGGTACCCACCACCACACTCGGCTAATTTTTGTATTTTTAGGAGAGACAGGGTTTCACCATCTTGGCCAGGCTGGTCTCAAACACCTGACCTCGTGACCTACCCATTTCAGCCTCCCAGAGTCCTGGGATTACAGGTATGAGCCACCACACCTGGCCAGCCAGTGGTTTTTAATAGTAAGCTATAACGACTGCTTAATAGTGATACAGGGGAATGCTGGACAAAAGCTGAGTTTATAGACACGGGTTAATTAGCAAAGAGACTAGATGGCTGGTAGATGAATGTGAAAGTATGAGTCTGTTGGGCCAGGCATGGTGGCTCACAACTATAATCCTAGCACTCTGGGAGGCCGAGGCCGGCGGATCACTTGAGGTCAGGAGTTTGAGACCAGCCTGGCCAACATGGTGAAACCCTGTCTCCACTAAAAATACAAAAAAAAATAGCCAGACATGGTGGTATGTGCCTGTAGTCCCAGCTGCTCGGGAGGCTGAGGCAGAAGAATTGCTTGAATCCAGGAGGTGGAGGTTGCAGTGAATCAAGATTGCGCCATTGCACTCCAGCCTGGGCGACAGAGCAAGACTCTGTCTCAAAAAAAAAAAGAAGAGTAGAAAGTAAAGTATGAGTCTGAGAGAATGTCAAGGTGTGCATGTATCTAAGAAGTTTTTTTTGTTTGTTTTTTGTTTTTTTTGACACAGAGTCTAGCTCCGTCACCCAGGCTGGAGTGCAATGGCACGATCTCGGTCACTGCAACCTCCGCCTCCCAGGTTCACACCATTCTCCTGCCTCAGTCTCCCGAGCAGCTGGGACTACAGGCACGCGCCACCATGCCCAGCTAATTTTTGTATTTTTAGTACAGACAGGGTTTCACCACTTCGGCCAGGAGGGTTTCGATCTCTTGACCTCGTGATCTGCCCGCCTCGGCCTCCCAAAGTGCTGGGATTACAGGTGTGAGCCACGGCACCTAGCCAGAAGTTTTCTTTAAGTAATGAAAACCTTCAGAGAATACAAAGACAAATAATGCAACTTCATTTGTCAAGGAATTTCTACACTATGTCAAAACACCACAGTAAAAAGGGCAGCCAATGAAAGAGATGCAGCCTGGGTGAGGTGGGTCACATTTGTAATCCCAGCACTTTGGGTGGCGAAGGGAGCCTGATTACTTGAGCTCAGGAGTTCAAGACCAGCCTGGGCAACATGTCGAAACACTGTCTCTACAAAAAAAAAAAAAAAAAAAAGCATTAGCTGGGTGTGACAGCACGCGCCCATAGTCTCAGCTACTTGGGAGCCTCAGATTGGAGGAGAGCTTGAGCTTGGGAGGTCAAGGCTGCAGTGAGCCATGAGCATGCCATTGCACTCCAGCCTCCAGCCTGGGTGACAAAGCGAGACTGTCTCAAAACAAAACAAACAAAAAACAACAAAAAATAAATGCACTCTGAGCCAGAATAGGTAAAAACATCCTTTAGACAATAGCTGTACTCATAAAAGAAAGGAAGGCAAGAGATCTTCACTACAACAATGCATAGAATTGCTTCAACAACTTTTTTTTGTGTGTTTTTTTTTTTAAACAGGCTCTTGCTCTGTCGCCCAGGCTGGACTGCAGTGCCCTAATCATGGCTCACTGCAGCCTTGCCCTCCTGGGATCATGGGATCCTCCTGCCTCGGCCTCTCAAAGTGCTGGGATTACAGGTGTAAGCCACCACACCCATCCAAAATTATTTATTTGAAAGGGGCATTAACTATGGTACTTCTCAGAAGCATTTATAAAAAATGGGACTCAAAGCTCCCCTTGATTCTCCAATCACAGCTGGTTAATGTGAATAAATCATGTGAATTATAAACTATGAATGAAAGAGAAGATACGTTTTTATGATAAAATCTGTGAAAACCATTTATGATGAATAAAACTGAAGAAGCTGGGAATTCCATGCTCATTAGTGATTTATCCTAAGAGTTTGTTTATCAGCACTTAAAACTTCTAAAAAGTATTTCAAGTTTGGTGTGACACAGCTGTGTGTATATCCACTGCCAACTTCATCCTGGGGTTATTCTTTTATTGAAGAATCAGTACATAGGTAAGATCTAGATGGTGAATCTGTCCTATCAAGACTAGTCAGGACTACATGGGAAAGACATTACAGTGATGTAATGTGTTTATTAATCACTATCTGAAATAGCATGGGATGGCAGGAATTTATAACCAGTTTTCAACATGTTTAATTTTTCTTCCTTATCACAAAAGAGCAAATAGGATATCACAAGGAAAATAAGGAAAGCTTCAAAGATAAAAGGTAATACTCATGCTTTTAGAAGCTATTCAGTGGTATTGTTCATCTTTGGAGCTTGTCTAATCAGTATTTTTGGAAATAATAAATTCATTTTAATGGGTTTCAAGGCAAATTTTCACAGACTCTGAATTAGTTGTTTACATTATAGAAAAAAATTAAAAAGAGGACTGGAAGAGTTGATAGTCTTTGGAAAAACTTATCTTTTTACGATACACAATACACAGCAAAATAAATTCCATTGAGATAAAAAGTCAAACACAAAATAAAACCAAAAACAAGTAGAAGCCAGACGTGGTAGCTCACGCCTGTAATCTCAGCGCACTTTGGGAAGCTAAGGCGGGTGAATCATTTGAGGTCAGGAGTTTGAGACAAGCCTGACCAACATGGTGAAACCCTGTCTCTACTAAAAATACAAAAATCAGCTGGGCATGGTGGCACGTGCCTGAAATCCCAGCTATTCGGGAGACTCAGGCAGGAGAATTGCTTGAACCCAGGAGGCAGAGATTGCAGTGAGCCGAGATCACGCCAGTGCACTCCAGCCTGGGCGACAGAGCGACTCTGTCTCAAAAAAAAAAAAAAGAAGAAAATGGTGACAACTGTGGTATCAACATGGAGAAGGTTAACTTGATAACCTCTGTTTAAAAAAAAAAAAAAAAAGGAAAAAATAAACATGGGGAAGCTGTTTATGAGCATAAAAGAAATAAAAAGAAAAGACAGGCTGGCTACATGAAAAAGGGCAACTACTATTCGTTATAAAATATAAATAAAAATAAAAGGTAAATTAAAAACTGGGGGAAAATATTCGAAGACATAAACCAAAGATTTTAAGGAGTTATTACAAAGATAAAATTGGGAAAAATGGAAGAACTGGACAGGGAACATGAAGAGGCGATTCACAGAGGAAATTCAAACCAGTAAATGTACAAAGAAATGTTAAACTAAATAAACACACATACTGAGAAAACATTCAACCATTACAATGGAAATGAGGCTGGATGTTGTGGCTCAAGCCTGTAATCCCAGCACTTTGGGAGGCCAAGGCGGGCACATCATTTGAGGTCAGGAGTTCAAGACCAGCCTGGCCAACATAGTGAAACCCCGTCTCTACTAAAAATACAAAAATCAGCCAGGCAGTAGTGGTGCGTGCCTGTAATCCCAGTTACTAGGAGGCTGAGACAGGAGAATCGTTTGAGCCTGGGAAGCAGAGGCTACAGTGAGCCGAGATCATGCCACTGCACTCCAGTCTGGGTGACAGAGAGAGACTCTCTCAAAATAATATAAACAAACAAATAAATATAATGGAAATTATACTACTACAAAATTTATTTAGCATCTACTATGTTTCCGATCAAAACAGACAAAATCCCTGGTCTCACGGAACTGCACAAAAACTAATCTGATATAGAAGTGAATGAATCAGCCTTACTGTCCAAAAAAGTGGCATTACATTAGACAAAGATACATGCATAACTAGAAGAGTATTACTCAGCAGTTAAGAAGTGTGTGTGTGTGTGTTTGGGGGATGGAGTCTCACTCGGTTGCTTAGGCTGGAGTACAGTGGTATAATCTCGGCTCACTGCAACCTCCGCCTCCTGGGTTCAAGTGATTCTCCTGCCTCAGCCTCCCGAGTAGCTGAGATTACAGGTATGCCCCATGATGCCCGGCTATTTTTTGTATTTTAAGTAGAGACAGGGTTTCACCATGCTAGCCAGACTGGTCTTGAACTCCTGACCTCAAGTGATCTGCCCGCCTCAGCCTCCCAAAGTGCTAGGATGACAGGTATGAGCCATCGCGCCCGGGCAAGAATTATATTTTGAAGAATATTTGACAACATGGAAAAATAGTTAATGATGTATCAGAAGAAAACTTAGTTATAACAACTGTTATTTGCAGTAGGATCCATTGGATTCTCTGGGGAGTAAAGGTAATGTGTTTTTTTTTTTCCTTATATTATCTAAATTTAATACAATATGTTCACAAAAAGAAAAGCATTATTATTTTTTTCATTTACCCACACTACAGAGATGTAAAGTTTTTTTTAATATTAATGTTTATTACCTTGAATATGAAAACAGATAAATCATGGGTCACATAAATCCTCGAAGTACTTGAAAATAACATGAAATTCAGCTGTGAATTTTCCAATACTGGCAGTACTCTTAACTTTGTACTCAACTTCCTTTCTTTTCAGTCTGTTAATAATAAGCTTATTTTTCTTACCTTTGAAAAGTCCTTTGATACCTCCCATCTTTTTCACCATCTGTGCAAACTTGGTATATTGTGTCAAAAGTTCTTGAACATCTCTTGTTGATACACCTGATCCTCTTGCTACTCTTTGGATTCTTCCGGGTTGTTTACTAAAAACTTTGGCACCATCCGTACTATCTAGTTCTGTAGACAAGAGTCAATTACTCTCACACACAATTATCATTCACCATCAAAGCAGTTATGTGCAAATGGGCAATACATAAGAGCTTAGCAGATACGTTTTTAAAGTGATAACTATCTCATTTTTCTTTTTATATTACAAAATATCTTACTTACAGAAAAACAGATATAATACATAGTCAAACTACCACCCCGATTTAACAAATGTTATCATTTGCTATGTTTGCTTTTGAGTTTTAAAACTTAAACACGGAGGCCGGGCGTGGTAGCTCACGCCTGTAATCCCAGCACTTTGTGAGGCCAAGGCAGGCGGCTCATGAGGCCAGGAGTTCGACATCAGCCTGGCCAATATGGTGAAACCCGTCTTTACTAATAACACAAAAATTAGCTGGGCATGGTGGCACGCGCCTGTAGTCCCAGCCACTCGGGCGGCTGAGGCAGAAGAATTGCTTGAACCTGGGAGGCAGAGGTTTCAGTGAGCCAAGATTGTGCCATTGCACTCCAGCCTGGGCGACAGAGCAAGACTCCATCTCAAAAAAAAAAAAAAAAAAAAGAAAATACGGAATATATTCAAAAGAACATTTATAGTATTCATAAGCTATAAAAACAGTAAAACAAACGTGTACTTTTGCTATAAAAACAATAAAACGCACATGTACTTTCCCTACAGTTTAAGTAAACTATTAATAGAATGTTTTGAGACCCCATGTCCACCACTTCCATACTTCATATGTCTACCCTCTCCAGGCCCTCCAAACACCAGAGGTATATGGTATACTTAAAAAATGAACACAAATGCTCACCTTAGCTCTGTCGTAAATATTAATCATGAATTCACAAATGCAGACTATATAAGCAAGCAGAAGGAGGAAGATTCTATCCATAATCAACAGAAAAATTATTTCCTATAATCAAGTAATTACTACTACTAGTATTTTAATTCTCTGAGTAGCTTTAAGAGTGAATTAATGGCCGGGCGCGGTGGCTCAAGCCTGTAATCCCAGCACTTTGGGAGGTCGAAACGGGCGGATTACGAGGTCAGGAGATCGAGACCATCCTAACACAGTGAAACCCCATCTCTACTAAAAAATACAAAAAGAAAAACTAGCTGGGCGAGGTGGTGGGCGCCTGTAGTCCCAGCTACTCGGGAGGCTGAGGCAGGAGAATGGCGTAAACCCGGGAGGCGGAGCTTGCAGTGAGCTGAGATCCGGCCACTGCACTCCAGCCTGCAGCCTGGGCGGCAGAGCGAGACCCCATCTCAAAAAAAAAAAAAAAAAGAGTGAATTAATTCCCACAGTTGTTTGATGACTCTTAGAATATGAGGTGCATTTCTTCAGTTGCATGCAATCTCAGGAATGGAATGGACTTTAGTCAAAATGTCCATTATGTCTGCATTCCTTCTGCAATATCCCCCAAATAAATGGTTATCTAGCCTTGGTCTTAATATCCCCAGGAGAAGATGACCTGCTATCTAATGTAAAGCTGTCTATGCCATTCTGTTATACTTAGGGAAAAATCTTTTCTTTACACATATTAAATTGAAATCCGTTTACCTGGCACTTCCATTCCCATTCATGTATATGTCTCCTTGCCACGCATAAAAAATAACGCTTTCAAAATCTTTTTTTTTGAGACGGAGTGTTGCTCTGTCACTCAGGCCACAGTGCAGTGGTGGAAGCTTGGCTCATTGCAACCACCAACTCCAGCGTTCAAGGCATTCTCCCACCTCAGGCTCCTGAGTAGCTGGGTCTATAGTCACACGCCACCACAGCCAGCTAATTTTTTTTGTAGTTTTAGTAAAGACAGGGTTTCACCATGTTGCCCAGGCTGGTCTCGAACTCCTGACCTCAAGTGATCCTCCCAAAATGCTGGGATTACAGGTGAGAGCCACCACACCTGGCCAGCTTTCAAATGCATAGGCCATTATGTCTCCTGTGAATTTTCACTGGATGACAAATATCCAACTCTTGACTCTTCTAACATGGTTTAGAACCCCACTGATCATCCTGATTTCCTATATCTTCTAATTTGTCTATACCCTCTAAGTATGTTGTCCAGAAGTGAACTGAAATCCAGTTGAAGTCTAATTATCAATGCAATACTAACGAAGATACAGTATCTCAAAATAAAGTCACAATCAAAACCTCCAAATCCATTTGATAAATGCAGCTTTTAAGCCACATCTTCCTTATAAAAGATTTATGAAATATATATAATATTCCTTCCAACAGCTCAAATCAAATGAAAGAAAAACTAATAGCAGCACATCGTGGCAAGCAATATGACAGAGTTAAGCAAACAGAGGAAGGGGCCTTCATTCAAAGAAGGAAGGAAGTCAGGAAAGGTTCTATACTGGGCAAATTACTCAACTTCCCTGTACCAGTTTCCTAATTTGAAAAAGGCAGATAATAACTGAATATGCTATAGGAGTTGTTATAATGATAAAATGAATTAACATATTTAAAGTGATCAGGACAGTGCCTGGCACAGAATGGATACTTCAGATATGCCACAATTGTGAATTCTACGTGCAAACATTTTTGCAGTGTTAAAGATGATGAGGAAAAAGACAACCTTAAAAGAAAAGGACAATCTTATTTGGGTTACTATGAAAACCTGGAGCTCAGGAAAAAGAGACTACAAAAAATAACAACAAATTAGATAGTAGATAAAGCACAGATATGAAAATTTGTTCAAATTGTTAGAATATTACGTAAACTTAGTTGATAAAGCAGCAGCAGCAGGGTTTGACAGAACTGACTCCAACTTTGGAAGAAGTTCTACTGTGGGTAAAATGCTATCGAACAGCATTGAATACTACAGAGAAATCTTTTGTGAAAAGAAGAGTCAATCAATCGGGCAAATTTCATTCTTGTGTTTTAAGAAACTGCCACAGCCACCTTGACCTTTGGCAACTATCACTGTAATCAGTTTGCAGTCATCAACATCAAGCTAAGATCCTCCATCAGCAAAGATTAGAATGCACTGAAGGCTTAGATGATCATTAGCATTTTTAGCAATAAACTTTTTATTTTTTCTTTTGAGACAGAGTCTCTGTCACCCAGGCTGGAGTGCAGTGGCACGATCTCGGCTCACTGCAACCCTCTGCCCCCAGGTTCAAGCGATTCTCCTGCCTCAGCCTCCCAAGTAGCTGGGATTACAGGCATGTGCCACCACATCTGGCTAATTTTTTTGTATTTTTAGTAGAAACGGGGTTTTACCATGTTAGCCAGGCTGGTATCAAACTCCTGACCTCAGGTGATCCACCTGCCTCAGCCTCCCAAAGTACTGGGATCACAGGCATCGTAAGCCACTGCACCCAGCCAACAATAAACTATTTTTAAATTAAGGTATATACATTGTTTTTTAGACACAATGCTCTTGCACACTTAATAGACTACAGTATATGTATGTGTAAACATAACTTTTATATACACTGGAAAACCAAAAAAATCTGTATGACTCACTTTACTGCATGATATTTCCTTTACTGCAGTGGTCTAGAACCAAACCCACAATATCTCTGAGGTATGCCTTTATAGGGTCAGGGGAACACAGCAGTATACTGAGAAAACTGAAACCTTATGTTTCAGACTGAAAGACTTTTCTAAGCATTGCTTAAGCTATCCATTTCTTAGTTTCCCAATGTATGTTAGCAATATTAAAGCTATGAAGAGACTTTTAGTAAATTTTTTTTTTCATAGAAGCAGGGTCTTGCTATGTTGGCCAGGCTGGTCTTAAACTCCTGGCCTCAAGTAATCCTCCCACCTTGGCCTGCCAAAGTACTAGGATTACAGGCGTGAGCCACCTCACCCGGCCAAATTTAACTCTTTAAAAACTAGCATTCCACCAAATTTGACTACAGAGTTCTCCTTTTAAGTTATCTCTATCAACATCATGAAGAACTAGTGTTCTTTCCTTGTATCTCATTTGGAGAAGTATTGTAGTAGACATTTCTCTCACTGATGAAGGCAATCCAATGATCATAACCCTTTGAGTAAGAGCTTTCAAGCTATTACAAATCTACCTAAAAATAATCTTTCAGTCAAAATTTCTCCCCATCTTGTCCACAAGAACACAGTGAAACTCTCTCATCTTACTGATATTCAGAATATTGTCCCCTGAGGAAAATAATCTGCCATCTTACCTTGATCATTCATACTATCCATTATTGTCATTAATTTCTTTAGCCTTGCCATTGACTCCTGTTCATTTCCTTTGCTCATAAAATCTGTTCCAAAACCAGGGATCATCCCCTAAAACAGATTTAAACATAAAGTCAATAATAGCTTAAGATTAATAGTTCAAAATGTCCACATTTAACTATTAGGTTTAATATTGACACTAAGTCTTAAGATACCTATTTTTACCCAAATGTAAAAATAATTAAAGCAAGTGTATCTATTCTTAGAAAATTTAATAAAAACAAAAGAAGGTATAAACTGTTAAGGATAACTAACCAAGATCTGACTGAAGGGGCCCATTTTCATGATATTTTGAAATTGCTCATACATGTCTCGCAACGTAAACTGACCTGAAATACAATATAATTTGGATATATTACAGTATGTACATTTCCATTCAACAAAACTAATTTCATCCTTAATCATGAATTCATCTTGAAGCATACTTATAAAATATACAATCAATAAATATTCACCAAGCAGTTACCATGTGCAAGATGACAGGATGAATGCTAGGGAGAATATATAGACACATAGACAGGTCCTATCCTAGAGAAGCTAACATTCTATCTGAGAAAACACATATACAAACACACAAGAAACCTGAAAACAAGGCACATAAACTATCCCTACTAGGATGAGTAAAATTTTAAAGGTTGACAATATCAAAAGTTAAAGAGGATGTGGACCATAAAGAACTGCCATATATTGTTGGTGACAGAATAGCAAAACACTTTAGAAGATTGTTTGGAGTTTCTTAAATAGCTTAGGGATCTATGAACAGGAAAATGGATACCTGTGGAAAAAATACTATTCAGTAATAAAAAGAACAAACTATAGATAAGTACGACTACATGAACGAATATCAAAATATGCTTAGAGAAAAGAGATTGGAAAAAAAAGGATATATTCAGAATTTCTTTACTTTTTTAAGAGGGTTGTGCTCTATCACCGAAACTGGATTGCAGTGGTACAGTCATAACTCACTGGTAGCCTCAAACTCCTGAGCTCAAGTGACCCCCCCGCCTCAGTCTCCAGAGTAGTTAGGACTATAGATGCATGCCACTGGATTTTTCTAAGAGATATGGGTCTCACTATGTTGCCCAGGCTGGTCTCAAACTCCTGGTCTCAAATGATCCTCCCACCTTGGCCTCCTAAAGCACTGGGATTATAGTATGAGCCACCATGCATAGACCAGGACTTCTATAATATGAAGTATTACTGGGAAAGGGCATAAGCAAACCTTTTAGAGTAATGGAAATGTTCTGTTTCTTGATTGGGTATTGGTTACTGTGCATTTGTTAAAAAAAGAAAGATATCCTTAGGATTTGAGCATTTCATTGTATGTATATTAATCTAAGCTTTAAAAACAGGGATGGAACAAGCCAAAAGAGAAAGTATTTTCTATTTATGTCCTAAAGATAAAAAGAGAAAAGGTATTTGATTCAGGCATTCTGAATTTGAAGTGACAGTACAGTATCTTAAAAGAAACGTTACAGCAAGCAACTAGAAACACAGAATTAAACAGTGGAAGAGAGGATTAAGGTTGAAATACATATTTGGCCATTTATACAGAAGTGATAATTAAAGCTAGGATAATACAAGAAATCTAGAGACATCGAACTTAGAGTATGAAAACAGAAAAGGCAGAAAACACTTAAATATTCGGAACCAAGGAAAACAAGAAAGGTCACTACATGTGGAAATTAGGAGACCCTTGGAGATCTCAGAATGAGTAGAATATTAGGAACAGAAACAAAAGACTTCAGGAGAGTCAGGAGTAAGAAAGGAAACAGAATAGGAATATACACCCAGCTTCGTAGTGCTAGCAGAAACAGTGGTAGGATTATTCAAGATAGAAAAAGGAAGGAGTGGCCAGGCATGGTGGCTCATGCCTGTAATCCCAGCATTTTGGAAGGCCGAGGCGGGAGGATCATCTGAGGCCAGGAGTTCGAGATCAGCCTGGCCAACATGGTGAAACCCCATCTCTACTAAAAATATCAAAATTAGCCAGGCGTGGTGGTGCACGCCTGTAGTCCCAGCTACTGGGGAGGCTGAGGCAGAATTGCTTCAAACTGGGAGGTGGAGGTTGCAGTGAGCTGAGATTGTGCCAATGCACTCCAGTCTGGGCGACAAGAGTGAAACTCTGTGCCAAAATAAAGAAAAGAAAAGGAAAAAAGGTGCAAAGAAACAGGCAACGAAGTATAAATTCATTCATTCAATAGTTACTGAAGGCCTACTATGTGCCAGACACTGTGCTAGGTACTGTGAACATAAAAGATGAATAACACAGCTATGACCTCTACCTTCACCATCCAGCAGGAAAAACGGACATCAAATAATTGTGGTGAATAATACAAAAATTGTAGGAAGCAATAGAAACATCTGTCAGAAGGTTCCAACTCAGTCTAGGGTTCAGGTGAAATGTCCCTGAAGAAGGACATTTAAGGAGAAATCTGAAGTATAAGTAGCAGTTAGCCATCTTGGTCAGAGATGATGGCAGAGGTAAGAAGAGAGATAGAGGGACAAGCAAAGGCAACAGCCCAGATGTGAGACAGGAATGTACATTTGAGAAACTAAAAGAAGTCAAGCATAGCTGACACACAGAATACTAAGAACAACAGTGCTAAAACACAACATGGAAGATGTGAGCTAGATCATAAAATCAGTTAAAAACTTTATAAGGGCAATAGAAAGCCATTAAAGAATTTTAAGAAGAGCAGTAATGGGATCAGATTTGCAGTTTTGAAAGATTATTTTGGGCTGTAGTATGAAAAAATACATCAACGGGGAAGAGTACAGGAAGCTGGAAGATCTGTTGAAAGACTTACAATAAGAAGATCTAGGAAAGAGATGAACTAGCATAGTTGTAGAGCGGCTACAGAGAAGGGGATGGAATGGAGATATTTAGGAGGTAGGAACACTAGGACTAGTTAACTGATGGAGAAAGGAGTGGGCAGAGTGAGGAAGAAATAATAATGACACCCAAGTTTCTGACTCTGGCAACAATATAAATGATGTTAATATTCATTGATGAGACGACGAGGTGAGAGGTTGGGATGGGAATAAGGATGTGCTGAATTTGAGATGTCTGTGAAACATCCAAGAATGGTCTAGTAAACACAGATACATGAGTCTGAAGCGCCTGAGAAAGATGACTTAGAATGATCCCTGAGAAACACCAGCATTTAAGAGAAAGGTAAAGGCACAATTATCTGGTAAGATGAGTGAGAAGCAGCAAAGAGGCGAATAGTTGCTATGGTAATTAAAGATTATTTTTAGAACAACTGGAATGGTAGAGAATAATATACACGGAGTGTTTATGATGTGCCAGACATTGTACATGCATCGGCGAATGCAGTCTTCACAACCATATGAAGTAGTTAGTATTATGTACTTTTTACAGATGACAAAATTGAGGCTAAGTAATTTCAAAAAGTTATACAGCTGAATAATAGATCAGAGATACAAACACTGGTATGTTATTATTTAAGAACCTGAGCTCCTAATCAAGTAACATCCTTCCCTACAGGAGGGGTCTTTCATGTGGGGTAAAGAAAATGTGGTATATTTAATTTCATCCTTGTGTTCTAACTTACTTTTAACCTGTTTAACTTCAAGGAACCAGCCAAGCACAGTGGCTCACACCTGTAAAACCAGCACTTTGGGAGGCCAAGGTGGGCAGATCACCTCAGGTCAGCAGTTCAAGACCAGCCTGGCCAACATGGCGAAACCTCATCTCTACTAAAAATACAAAAATTAGCCAGGCCTGGTGGTACGTGCCTGTAATCCCAGCTCCTCAGGAGGCTGAGGCAGGAGAATCACTTGAACCCAGGAGGCAGAGTTGGCAGCGAGCCAAGATTGCACCCCTGCACTCCAGCCTGGATAACAGAGTGAGACTCCATCTTAAAAAACAAACAAACAAACATACATTTCAAGGAATCTAGTGAAAGCCTAGATTTTAATCTTAATTTTATTACAATAAAGAAAACAAAAACACTGAATTCTGTAACTGCTCAGGCACCTAGATTTTAAATGATTTGCATATAAATCATGTAAAATAATAAGCAGTAGAAGATCTGACTCTAATAAATATTATATTTCAAACAACTTAATAGTAACTTTATAAAAAAAAGTCAATGGAAGACATCTGAGATGAAGTGCTTTTTTGTCACTCATATACCATGTTTCAACTTCTCTATAAGTGCTTCATTGTCATCCAACTTCAACTCGTTGACTTTATCTATCAGTCCTTCAATGTCGCCCATACCTATAAGATGCAAAAAAGAAAAATTAACAACTAATACTATACCCTGCTTTACATTATACAAAACACACTCACATACATAATAACCTTGTGAGGTTATTATGATAGGTATTCTTACTACACTACACAAATGAGAAAACCGAAGCTAAGAAAGTTAAGTGGCATGGCCAGGCACGGTGGCTCATGCCTGTAATCCCAGCAGTTTGGGAGGCCGAGGTGGGTGGGTCACCTGAGGTCAGGAGTTCGAGACTAGCGTGGCCAACATGGTGAAACCCCGTCTCTACTAAAAATAAAAAAAATTAGCTGGACCTGGTGGTGCACGCCTGTAATCCCAGCCACTTGGGAGGCTGAGGCAGAAAAATCGCTTGAACCCGGAAGGTAGAAGTTGCAGTGAACTGAGATCCCGCCATTGCACTCCAGCACGGGTGACAAGAGCGAAACTCCAACTCAAAAAAATAAAAAAAGTTAAGTAGCAACAAACAAGTCACAAAGCAGGGACTGTAGCCCAGGGTTTAACTCCAAATTCCATGCTCTCTAACTATACCACCTTGAGACATTGCCAAAGTATTATTGCCCTTACATCTACTATTATTAAAACCACTTGTTTTTGTATTGTGCTCTAAAACTTTTCCAAAGAACTTTCTACTAGACACCTCATTTTACCACTTTCACCACAGAAAGCAGATAAGCATTATCTCTATTTTACAGGTAAGGAAAGTAAGTCATAGAAGGAACTGATGTTCTTAAATTAGTGAGGACAGAATTAAAATCCTATTTTGTCCTAAAGATACATTGTATTTCTTGGAGATTTGTCTACATCACCACCACTGTACATACCAAGAAGTTTGCTAATAAAAGGTTGTGTTTTGAAAGGTTCAAAGTCATCTATATGTTCCCCTGTACCAATGAAAATAATCGGACTTTTTGTGGCAGCAACTCTGGAAAAAAAAAGAAAATATAAAATAACCTCAAAAGAGCCCCACAAATTTCCAGCAGATCTGATATTTGAAGTGAATCCGCCTCCAAAGCTAATTAGACAAAGGTACAAAACTCAAGTTTCATTTCGCAAGTTGTAATAGAACTATATCAGACAGGCTCCAAAATTATTTCTATTTAAACTTCCTTTACAAACCATATTAGGCTCACTATTGAAACATATTTTAAATGATCAATATGAAAGCTATAAACACATACTCTTCCCCATACAATCCCAAGACAGAGGACAACAGTATCAATGATACTTACGCACTGAGCGCACCACCTCCTTTTGCATGGCCATCAAGTTTTGTCACTATTACTGAGGCTACATCTACTTTATCTTTAAAAGCCTTAGCCTGGGCTTCACAAGCCTGCCCAATGGAGGCATCCATCACATAAACAATGTTATCAGGTTGCTAGAAAGTTTAAATAGAAAAGATACTTTAGAAAAGGTTTTTATTGATCCTAAGCAAATGTCATCATTAGAAGCTACAAAACAATATTTAGAGCCAGGCGCAGTGGCTCATGTCTGTAAGCTCAGCGCTTTGGGAGGCTGAGCCGGGTGGATCACCAGAGGTGGAGTTCAAGACCAGCCTGGCCAACGTGGTGAAAACCCTGTCTCTACTAAAAATACAAAAATTAGCATACAAAAATTAGCCAGGCGTGGTGGCAAGCCCCTGTAATCCCAGCTACATGAGAGGCTCAGGCAGGAGAATCACTTAAACCCGGGAGGCAGAGGTTGCAGTCAATTGAGATCATGCCACTGCACTCCAGCCTGGGCGACAAGAGTGAAACTCCATCTCAAGAAAAACAAACAAACAAACAAAAAGCCCCACAATATTTACAATATAAATAATTATTCAATCCATAAATATTTGTTGAAGTACTATGTATTATTGGGTACCATCTAGGTCCTGAGAACAAAAAGGTAAATGAGAAAATATTTGTCCTAAGAAACTTGCATTCTAGTCAGAGGACATAGATAATAAATAGATAAACATTTCAGATGTATAACAACTAAAATGGGATACAGAGTATCAGTTTTGAAGTATGGGAGGCATCTTCTAGTAGGGCAGTCAGGGAAGGCCTCTCTGGACCTAATGTTTGAGCTGAGACCTGAATAAAAAGGAAAAAGTTATGCAAAGATCTGAAAGAATGGCATTCTAGGCAAAAAAAGTGCAAAGGCAAATCAAAGTAGAAGAGTGTATACTGAAAACAAAATGGATAAAACACACTTGAGGCTATTTCCCTTAGATCTGCTCAACTTGGTCAAAATAACAACATAAATAAAAAGAAACTTACTAGCATTAACCACAAACCAAAGAATTACTGCTAATACTCCAATGCCAAGACATGAGTTCCTAAATAATATATGCTGCAGATATCTATAAACTGCTTCTCCTCCCCCAAATTATTTCCATCACACTTTTAAAGAGACAAAAAATGATAATACTTTTTTAATGCTTCATTTTGGAAAATTCTCAAAATTCACCTAAGTATTCCAACTGAATTTTTAAAAAGGAAATTCATCAGACATGAAAGGCTAATTACTAATTTTTTTTTTTTTTTGAGATGGAGTTTTGTTCTTGTTGCCCAGGTTGGAGTGCAATGGCATGATCTCAGCTCACTGCAACCTCTGCCTCCCAGGTTCAAGCGATTCTCCTATCTTAGCTCCCAGGTAGCTGGGATTACAGGCACCCGCCACCACGCCCAGATAATTTTTGTATTTTTAATAGAGATAGGGTTTCACCATGTTGGCCAGGCTGATCTCGAACTCCTGGCCTTGTGATCCATCTGACTCAGCCTCCCAAAGTGCTGGGATTATAGATGTGAGCCACTGCACCCAGCCTAATTACTAATTTTTAAACGTTTTCTTATGCATACTAATAGGATGATTAAGTAAGAAAGGAAATTATTTTTTCAAATTTAAGAAGTTTATATTTAACGGAGAGCAAAAATGATGAAATTAAGTCACTACCACACAGATATAGGTGCCCAAAACAAATTATATTGGTCATATATTCAATCCGGTTTTATAATTAAATTAACCAAAGTCCTAGTGTTTTTACATTGAAAGCTACTTACTATAGCATTAGCAACTTGAAGCATTTCTTCAAATAAAGAGTCTTCTTGTTTATGGCGGCCACTTGTATCAACAATAATAATTTCAAAATTTTCATTTTTAAATTTCTCTACTCCTTCAGAAGCAATGATAACAGGATCCATTTCTGTATAGCTATATAACATGGACAAATGATTTAACAAAACGGCAAAACTTCCAAATATTACTAATTCAGAAATTGTTAGTTTACCTTTAATCTATGTTGAAAAAGCCAAAATGACCCCAATTTCAATTTAGAAGAAGAAAATCTATAAAGTATTAAATACAAAATCTACTTCTAAAAAAGCATGAAGCATTATCCAATTTTCCAATTCCAAAACCCAGTATGATTCTATCGCACGTCTTTTCTGAATGAACTGTGTCTCCTTCAAATTTATTTTTTATATTTTATTTAATAATTGAATTCATGTTCACAGTGTTTCACACGTTTTTCCATTTAATATCCATTTGGAAGCATTTTATGAAACCAGCAGATATTCTTGTAACAAGCCTGAGCAATACAGTGAGATTCCACTCTACAAAAAAAAAAAAAAAAATCTAGTTGGCATAGTGGAATGCACCTGTAGTCCCAGCCACTTGGGAGACTGAAGCAGGAGGACGACTTGAGTCCATGAGTTTGAGGCTGCAGTGAGCTTATGATCAAGCAACTGCACTCCAACTTGGGCAACAGAGCAAGACCATGTCTCTTTAAAAATAACACAGGGGGAAAAAAGAAAAAATATTTCTGTAAAACATAACTTTGAGGTTATACAGCATTCTATCAGATGGCTATATTGCTTATTAAATAATGCCCTCCTATTAGACATTTGACGTTTTTCCCATTTCTTTCCTTTTTCTTTTTTTTTTTGAGACAAAGTTTCACTCTGTCGCCCAGGCTGGAGTGCAGTGGCGAGATCTCGGCTCACTGCCACTTCTGCCTCTTGGGTTCAAGCGATTCTCCTGCCTCAGCCTCTCAAGTAGCTAGGATTACAGGTGCCTGCCACCAGGCCAGCTAATTTTTGTATTTTCAGTAAAGACGGGGTTTTACCATGTTGGTCAGGCTGTTCTCAAACTTCTGACCTCATGATCTGCCTGCCTTGGCCTCCCAAAATGCTGGGATCACATGCATGAGCCATCACACCTGGCCTCCAATTTCTTTTTTAAATGTGTTTATTTATTTATTTTGAGGTGGAGTTTCGCTCGTTGCCCAGGGTGGAGTGCAATGGTGCGATCTCAGCTAACCACAACCTCTGCTTCCCAGGTTCAAGCGATTCTCCGGCCTCAGCCTCCTGAGTAGCTGGGATTACAGGCATGCGCCACCACATCCAGCTAATCTTGTATTTTTAGTAGAAATGGGTTTTCTCCATGTTGGTCAGGCTAGTCTTGAACTCCCGACCTCAGGTGATCCACCCATCTAAGCCTCCCAAAGTGCGAGGATTACAGGTGTGAGCCACCGCGACTGGCCTAAAAAATTTTTTTTTGTTGTTGAAACGGTGTCTAGCTCTGTCACCCAGGCTGAAGTGCAGTGGCACGATCTCGGCTCACTGCAACCTCTGCCTCCCAGTTTCAAGCAATTCTTCTGCCTCAGCCTCCCAAATAGCTGGGATTACAAGCACCCACCAACACACCCAGCTAATTTCTGTATTTTTAGTAGAGACAGGGTTTCACTGTGTTGGCCAGGCTGGTCTCGAACTCCTGACTTTATAATCCACCTGCCTCAGCCTCCCAAACTGCTGGGGTTACAAACATAACCCCACCGTGCCCGGCCTAAAAATTTTTTAAATTTATTTTTTCTAGAGATGAGGTCTTGTTATGTTGCTCAGGCTGGTGTCCAACTTCTGGGCTCAAGTGATCCTCCCATCTCAGCCTCCCAAAGTGCTGGGATTATATATATGAGCCACTGTGCATGGCAGTTTTTCCAATTTCTTGATATTAAAAATACAGCCAATATAATTGGTAAATGTTTCTTCTTTGAGCACTCTTATAAGTTGAATTTGGAACAAATGGTATGACCATTTAAGGCTTTTCATTTTTATGAGGCAAACCTCCTCCATAACAGTTTAATGTCATCCCTATTTCACTACATTTTCACAATCCCTAATACAATCTTTGTCAACTTGAAAAATCAAGAAATTAGATATTTTAATTTGCATTCTTCTGATTAGTGGCAACTTTTTATATGCAGATCACTACTATCAAATAAAGACATATAATGTTACAAAAAAAAAGTTTTTCCCCTAAATTAAGAACCACCACCAAAAACTCATGTAGAAATATACTTAATAAGAATATGTGTGTGGCTGCGTACAGTGGCTCAAGCCTGTAATCCCAGCCCTTTGGGAGGCTGAGGTGGAAGGATCATTTGAGTCCAGGAGCTCAGGACTAGCCTGGGCAACACAGGATCTTTTGTAAAGACAGGGTCTTTACAAAAAGTTTAAAAAAAAATTAGCAGGGCATGGTTAGGCGTGGTGGCTCATGCCTGTAATCCCAGCACTTTGGGAGGCCAAGGCAGGCAGATCACCTGAGGTCAGGAGTGACCAGCCTGGCCAACATGGCGAAACCCTGTCTTTACTAAAAATGCAAAAACTTAGCCGGGCGTGGTGGTGGGCACCTGTAATCCCAGTTACTCAGGAAGCTGAGACAGGAGAGTTGCTTGAACCCAGGAGGTGGAGGCTGCGGTGAGCCAAGATCGCACCATTGCACTCCAACCTGGGTAACAGAGGGAGAGACTCTGTCTCAAAAAAAAAAAAAAAAAAAAAGCTGACAGACAAGAAGAGACATATGAGTGTTAAAATAAAAAACAGTAACCTACCTTCCATAAAATGGAATTCTTGCTTTGGTAGCATTCTGTTTTAGTTGGTCAAAAGCCCCTAGAAGATAAAGAGTTCATGAATCCTCAAACTTGAAAATAAAAATTATAGAAAACAATTTTCAAATTTCAAGACATTACCTGCTCTGAATGTGTCTGCACATATTAAACAGGTCTTCCAACCTTTCCTCTGGTAATAATACGCTAACTGGGTGAGAAAAGATTTAAAAATATAATATCATAAAATATAACAAATTATACATATAATTTCTTCTGTTTTTCCTTATTATTTACCTTAGGAGTAAAATAAAACTGTGTATAATTCTCCTGATTATTAAAGATTTTTGAATATGGCAAATTTCCTACAAAGTTTTACATTCTAATTGTCATGCAGCAGCATTCAAATATAAAATGATCAAGTAGCAAATGATCATAGTAAAAAATGTTAATTACTATTAACGTTAATTAAAAACAAACAACAACAAAACGATCTAAAAATCATCCTTTTCTCTTTTTCCCCCTCAAACTATAACATATATGAAGCTTGTGGAAAAATCCCATAATATTGTTGACACCCAATTCGGGAAAAAGGAGTGGTAAACCGAATTAAAAATTAGCATAAAGAGGTCAAGGCTACAGTGAGCTATGTTCGCATGCCACTGCACTCTAGCTTGGGCAACGAAGTAAGACTCTATCTAAAAAAACATTGTATAAGGATATGCAAAATGAAGATCTATAGCATGCTGGGTAGGAACATGAAAAAGGAGTCCTGAGCTATAGAGGATAAAGTAAACTCCATGTTCTCTTCTCCAAAAATAATACACTCACTTCCTGAAAGGATAGGAATGGTCTTTTTTTAATAAAATAGCATAGTTATAGATGTCTACCTTCTTACAAAAAAGAAATAAGAAAGTATGAGGATCTCTTCTCTTATCCTACAAAAAATTATTTAAAAACATACATCAAGTAACACAAAATTATAAAGCAACAATATTATAAAGCCTGGCTTTATAAGATATTTTAATATATTATAGTATATTTTAATATATCACAAATATATTTTAATAAAATATATATAACATATTATATATTAATATATTCTAATTAATTATAATTAATAAAATATACATTTCAATATTATAAAGCCAGGCTTTATAATATATTTTTACATTAAGTACAAAACTTGATTTATACAAACCTATCTTCCATATGGCTTCTTTTTAAATTAAGTTCAATTTACCTTTGAACATGTTGTTGTTTTACCACTCCCTTGCAATCCAACAAACATAATCACATTTTGTTTTCCTTTAGTGGGTGTCCATGCCTTAACTCCAGGGTCTACAAGCTAAATACCAAAAATAAATTAAAAATAAAATCAGGTTAACATACATTTAAATTCAAAACCCCTTCCCCACAACATTTTTTTCCTTTTTTGAGATAGGGTCGCACTCTGTCACCCAGGCTGGAGTGCAGTGGCATAATCGGAGCTCACTGCAGCCTCTATCTCCTGGGCTCAAATGATGCTCCCACTTTCAGCCTCCCAAGTAACTGGGACTACAGGTACACGCCACCACATCTAGTTAATTAAAACATTTTTTTTGTAAAGAGAGGGTCTTGCCATGTTGCCCAGGCTGGTCTCCAACCTCTGGGTTCAAGCAATCCTTCTGTCTCAGCCTCAGAGTCCTGGGATTTCAGGCGTGAGACACCGTGCTGCCACAACTTTTAAATTATATAAATAAGGGCATTTTCATAAAAAAGCTACCATACGCTATTCTAATATAACTATTCTCCTTTGTATAAACAGAGTAAAATTTAAGAACATGAATTTAACAAGTCATAATCAAGTATATACTCCAAATCAATTCAGAGTAAAGATCTCACAACATTTTTTAGAACAAGCTGGAGTATAAAATAAAATGTAAAAAACAAGTTTAAGCCACAGGAGGAATCTACATCAGCACTACAGAAATGTAATACAAAAATGTATGTGAAGGCTACACATGAACTTTAAAATTTCCAGTACTGACATTTAAAAAGTAAAAACAGGTGATACTAAATTTAATATCTATCTCAATACATCTAAAAAATTATCATTTTCATATGTAATCTATATTAAAAATTTAATGAGATTTTTACATTTATTTTCCCATACAAAGTCTGAAAATCTGGTGTGTATTTTATATGTAATACACATCTCAGTTTGGACTAGCCACATTACAAATGCTCAATAACCACATGTGGCTAGCGGATGCCATACTCAAGAGTGCTAACGTTCATATTCAATTTGACAAATATTTACTTAACAAAATTACAGATTATATGTGAAATATTTTCAAGGTCAAACTGTAAATTCTCCAATGCCAAATATTTACTGCAAAGTTACTACATTTAGAGGGCTAGTAAAAAACAATCACCAACTTTAAAATGACAGTCAGCGGAAAACTGAGGTTCATATAGGGACAGTCTCCAAATTAAAAAAGCATGGGACATTTAGGGCTGGGCATGGTGGCTCATGCCTGTAATCCCAGCACTTTGGGAGGCCGAAGTGGGCGAATCATGAGGTCAGGAGAATCAAGACTATCCTGGCTAACACGGTGAAACCCCGTCTCTACTAAAAATACAAAAAATTAGCTGGGTGTGGTGGTGGGCACCTGTAGTCCCAGCTACTCAGGAGGCTGAGGCAGGAGAATGGCGTGAACCTAGGAGGCGGAGCTTGAAGTGAGCTGAGATTGCACCACTGCACTCCAGCCTGGGCAACAGAGCAAGACTCCATCTCAAAAAAAAAAAAAAAAGGCCGGGCACGGTGGCTCAAGCCTGTAATCCCAGCACTTTGGGAGGCCGAGGCGGGCGGATCACGAGGTCAGGAGATCGAGACCATCCTGGCTAACACGGTGAAACCCCGTCTCTACTAAAAAAAAAAACACAAAAAACTAGCCAGGCGAGGTGGCAGGCGCCTGTAGTCCCAGCTACTCGGGAGGCTGAGGCAGGAGAATGGCGTAAACTCGGGAGGCGGAGCTTGCAGTGAGCTGAGATCCGGCCACTGCACTCCAGCCTGGGTGACAGAGAGAGACTCCGTCTCAAAAAAAAAAAAAAAAAAATCTTGTCCCTACTAATTTAAAGAATTGGCCAGGTGTGATGGCATGCACCTGTGGTCCCAGCTAATCAGGAGGCTGAGGCAGGAAGATGGCTTGAGCCCAGGAGTTTGAGACTGCAATGAGCTATTATCAGGCCACTGTACTCTGGCCTGGGCAACAGGCTATAAAGTTATTACATTTCTAGTTATTACATTGAAAAAAATTTCAATCTAATACAGCCATGCCCATTCATTTACTACTTTGTTTTTTTTTTTTTTTTTTTGGAGACACGGTCTCATTCTGTAACCCAGGCTAGAGTGCAGTGGTACAATCATGGCTCACTGCAGTCTCGAACTCTTGGGCCCAAGCGATCCTACCATCTCAGCCTCGTGAGTAGCTGGAACTACAGGCGTGTGCCATGATATCTGACTAATTTTAGTATTTGTTTGTAGAGACGGAGTATTGCTATGTTGCCCAGACTGCTTTTGAACTCTTGGCCTCAAGCAATCCTCCAGCCTTGGCCTCCCGAAGTGCTGAGATTACAGGTATAAGCCACTGTGCCTGACCCATTTGCTCCTTTTGTGCCACAACAGCAGAGCTGAGTAGTTGCAACAGAAATCACGTGGTCCACAAAGTCTAAACCTTTGAGAGAAAGTCTACCAAGCCAACCATAAAAATTACATAATCCATATTATACCTGAATTTCAAGGAAAGCCATGAGATAGAGAAGAGAGAAAAATACATTTTCTCATACCTTTCCTAAGCATCAACCTCCCCTTAGGCAAACTTCTGAAACAGGCAAAATCTGTCTTAAACATAAATCCACTTCCCTTCCTCATAGATCCTTTCAGTACACTGATGCTGCTCCACATTCACCTCCATTTTCTATATGTCATGGCAAAATCTCCCAGCTCTCTATGGACCCATTATTTGGAACATATGTTTTACTAAATAATTTAATAAATTTGTCTTCTCTTTCTCCCACTCTTGAGAACAGCTGTTTTCAACTTCTTGGTCTCAGAGCTTCTTTATAATCATGGTAGTTTGTAAAGGTTAGCTGTAATATAGAATCTAAAACCATATAAACTTTTATACTCTGTTACATTAAAATCTGTGATTCCATCTTGCATTTTAAATGAATCTTATACTGGTACATGATCTTGTAATATCATGTGCTAGTTATTCACAAAACATTGGTTCACTGAGCTAGGCAGATCTCTCTTCACTGACATATTTCACTATACAGAATCAAAAAACTTCATTCATTAATATCAATAGTGACTCTCATCAGAAAAGTAAGTAGTGTGATACTGTCAAACTCATGACGGAGACAGATGATAGACACAAGTCCTTTTTATTTTTATTTTAGATGGAGTTTCGCTCTTGTGGCCTAGGCTGGAGCGCAATGGCGTGATCTCAGCTCACTGCAACCTCTGCCTCCCAGGTTCAAGCCATTCTCCTGCCTCAGCCTCCCAAGTAGCTGGGATTACAGGCATGTGCCACTACACACGGCTAACTTTTTTTATTTAGTCAAGACGGGGTTTCACCATGTTGGTCAGGCTGGTCTCAAACTCCTGACGTCAGGTGATCCACCCGCCTCGGCCTCCCAAAGTGCTGGTATTACAGGCATGCACCACTGTGCCTGGTGGCTTTTTTTTTTTAAGACAGGTCTCGCTCTGTTGCCCAGGCTGGAGTGCAGTGGCGTGATCTCAGCTCACTGTAACCTCCACCTCCCAGATTCAACTTAACCTCCCGAGTAACTGAGTTTACAGGTGTAAGCCACCGTTCCCAGCTAATTTTTGTATTTTTTGTAGTGATGGGGTTTCATCATGTTGCTCAGGCTGGTCTCAAACTCCTGGGCTCAAAGAGTAGTAGTCCCAGCTACTAGGGAGGCTCAGGTGTAGGGATCACCTGAGCCCAGGGAGGATGAGGCTGCAGCAAGCCATGATCACACCACTGCACTCCAGCCTGGGCAACAGAGTAGGACCCTGTCTCAAAACAAACAAACAAACAAACAAACAAAAAAACAACAGTGGTGCATGCCGTTGGTCCTAGCTTCTCTGGAAGCTGAGGAGAGAAGACCGCTTGAGCCCATGAATTTGAGGCCACAGTGAGCTCTGATCATGCCACTGTACTCTACCTTGAATGACAGGGACTCTGTCTTTAAAAAAAAAAAAAAAAAAAAGAGTTCAGAAACTACTAGTATCGTATGGTGCCACTGCCTTGATTCATACTAGGGAGTTTTACCTACCATTGTTTTCAGTGCAAATGTCAACACAGTACAAAAGTCAAATAGTGTCTTAGTATTATGGAAATAATTTTGACCTTGTTTTGTACACCATTGCTCTAGACCATAAGCATCTGTGTATAAGGACCAGTTTTATTTATCTCTGCTGTCAGCAGCATTTGGCATACTTCCTGAAATAAAGTAGGTACTCAATAAATGCTTCTTAATAAAGCACCTGATGCTCCAGAATTGCCTATGGTTATGAGCCCCTAACAATAAAAATTTCCAGCCAGGCACAGTGGCTGACACCTGCAATCCTAACACTTTGGGAAGACAAGGCAGGTGGATCACTTGAGTTCAGAAGATCAAGACCAGCTAGGGCAACATGGCAAAACCTTGTCTCTACAAAAAAATGCAAAAACTAGCTGGGCATGGTGGCATGTTTCTGTAGTCCAGCTACTTGGGGGGCGCTGAGGCAGGAGGATTGTTTGAGCCCAAGAGGTTGAGGCTACAGTGAGCCATGATTGCACCACTGCACTCCAGCCTGGGTAACAGAGTCAGACTATCTCTTTAAAAAAAAAAAAAAAGGCCAGGTACGGTGGCTTATGCTTGTAATCCCAGCACTTTGGGAGGACAAGGTGGATGGATCACTAGGTCAGGAGATCGAGACCATCCTGGCCAAAATGGTGAAACCCCGTCTCTACTAAAAATACAAAAAAAAAAAAATTAGCTGGGCAAGGTGGCGCACGACTGTAATCCCAGCTACTTGGGAGACTGAGGCAGGAGAATTGCTTGAACCCAGGAGGCAGAGGTTGCAGTGAGCCAAGATCGTGCCACTGCACTTCAGCCTGGCAACAGAGCAAGACTCCATCTCAAAAAAAAGAAAAAGAAAAAGAAAAAATTCCACTCACACTGTGCTGACCTCAGACACTAAGTGAAAAGCAATCAGGAAATGAAGAGTCTTACACAAGGAGTTTGGAGATCATACCTGGGTCTGCCACTAACTAGCTCAGTTTTCTCAACTGCAAACTGGTAAGTATGAACAGGATAAATTCTGACCTCTTTTAGGTCTGAATTTCTTTTTTTTCTTTTTTTAATTAATTAAGTCTAGTGGAGTAAATGAAAATTACATACTTGTCTGAGATACACAACTTTTTCAAAATCCTATCAGTGCGGTTGGTACCAAAACAGTAAATATATTCAGGCCGGGCATGGTGGCTCACGCCTGTAATCCCAGCACTTTGGGAGGCTGAGGCAGGTGGATCACTTGAGGTCAGATGTTCGAGGGCAGACTGGCCAAGATGTGAAAACTTGTTTGTACTAAAAATACAAAAATTAGTTGGGTGTGGTGGTATGCACCTATATAGTCCCAGCTACTCGGGAGGCTGAGACAGGAGAACTGCTTGAACCCAGCAGGCAGAGGTTGAAGTGAGCAGAGATCATGCCATTGCACTTCAGCCTCAGTGACAGAGGGAGACTCAAAAAAAAAAAGAAAGAAAATATTCATACAATGTGGGGGGAAAAATGATTGTAGAACTAGTAGCCATCTATTGCTCTAAAAAAATTTTTTTTGTTTTTTTTTTAAGACAGGGTCTCACCCTCTCCCCAAGTCTGGAGTGCAGTGGCACAATCATGGCTCACTGCACCCCTGAACTCTGGGGCTCAACCAATCCTCCTGTCTCAGCCTCCTCAGTAGCTGGGACTACAGATGTGCACCACCATGCCCAGCTAATTTTTGTATTTTTAGTAGAGATGGGATTGCACCATGTTGGTCAGGCTGGTCTCGAACTCCTGACCTTGGGTGATTCACTCACCTCAGCCTCCCAAAGTGCTGGGATTACAGATGTGAGCCACTGCACCCAGCCTGCACCAGTTATTTTTACCAATTTTTTTTTTTTTTTTTTTTTGTAGAGACTGGTTCTCACTGCATTGCCCAGGTTGGTCTCAAACTCCTGGTCTCAAGGAATCCTCCCACCTCCGCCTCTCAAAGCACTGTGATTACAGGCATGAGCCACTGTGCCTGGACTAAAATAATTTTTTTAACAGCTCCTTTCTTTTTTTCTTCCACAACTGAGCCAATATATATATATTTTAAGCTCTAAGATTTTCACCATAATTTGCATGATCAGCAATAAGATGAGGCAGGGGCAACCAGCTATATTTACTACTTGAAAATAAAACTTTCACTAATTTAAAATTGCTCATAATCTAGGCAAGAATTGGGATACTTGGTCTTTGCAAAGGGAATTCCTTACAAAATGAACAGTGTAGAAAAGAATATTTGCTATGTGTGACTTTGCCATATAAAAGCAGGACCATCACTAAGCAAATCACGATAGTGAAAGAAGAAAAACTTAGGCCTTTTTTTTTTTTTTTTTTTTTTTTTTTTTTTTGAGACGGAGTCTCGCTCTGTCACCCAGGCTGGAGTGCAGTGGCCGGATCTCAGCTCACTGCAAGCTCCGCCTCCCGGGTTCACGCCATTCTCCTGCCTCAGCCTCCCGAGTAGCTGGGACTACAGGCGCCTGCCACCTCGCCCGGCTAAGTTTTTATATTGTTAGTAGAGACGGGGTTTCACTGTGTTAGCCAGGATGGTCTCGATCTCCTGACCTCGTGATCCGCCCGTCTCGGCCTCCCAAAGTGCTGGGATTACAGGCTTGAGCCACCTCGCCCGGCCAAACTTAGGCCCTTTCATCAACCAATCTGTAGTGAAATTTCACTCATCGCATCTTGGTTTTGGCATTTTTTGCAGGAATAGTACTAGCCATCATATCTGCACTCGGAATTATGTATATTCAGTAAAGTCTACAATAAAAATAGGTCCTGACCAGGTGCAGTGGCTTATACCTGTAATCCCAGTACTCTGGGAGGCCAAGGCGAGCAGATCACCTGAGGTCGGGAGTTCAACACCAGGCTGACCAACATAGAGAAACCCTGTCTCTACCAAAAATACAAAATTAGCCAGGTGTGGTGGTGCATGCCTGTAATCCCAGCTACTCGGGAGGCTGAGGCAGGAGAATCACTTGAACTCGGGAGGCGGAGGTTGCGGTGAACCAAGATCACGTCATTGCACTCCAGCCTGGGCAACGAGAGTGAAACTCCTTCTCAAAGGAAAAAAAAAAAAAAAAAGTTCCTCAGAAAACTTAATAATCCTTTCATTAATATGTTAATACAGATGAATATTCCATAAAGACATGTTAAAAATATTCTGAAATATGTGTAGTGCTAATGTATTTTTATCCACCGAGTATAGAATCACAGCACAATCTTCATATACTTTTACCTTCACAAGTTCTTTAAATACAGCATGCTGAATCATTTTTCTTTTGTTAAGACCAGATGCCATCTCTTCAAGATCAATAGCAGACCTTTATGATGGTGGTTGGTGATTGGGATGGGGAGGAGAAAATCAGTTAAGAAACTCTAAGAAACAAAAGCTTCTGCTCCAAAGAATGTACGACTATTCATTCATTCATATTAATAGTCTTCCAATTAACATGCATGTAATTACTACAGATTCGTAAGTCTATATCATAAAGAGTTTTAGCCATGAAGTATTAGACACAAGACTTTGGTTTTCAAGGATTACACCTGAAAGTATAAATTTGTCCTAATATCACCACAAAGAACTAGTTTTATTTACTTTGCTTGCAGCTTATATATTTTACATATCTTTACAACAGAAATCAGGACTACTTTCTCTATTTCTTCTTTTTTTTTTTTTTTTTTTTTTTTTTGAGACAGAGTCTCGCTCTGTCGGCCAGGCCGGAGTGCAGTGGCATGATCTCGGCTCACTGCAACCTGTCTCCCAAGCTCAAGCAATTTTCCTGCCTCAGCCTCCTGAGTAGCTGGGTTTACAGGCGTATGCCACCATGCCCGGCTAATTTTTTGTATTTTTAGTAGAGACGGGGTTTCACCATGTTGGCCAGGCTGGTCTCCATCTCCTGACCTCATGTTCCTCCCGCCTCAGCCTCCCAAAGTGCTGGGATTACAGGCATGAGCCACCACACCCGGCTACTTTCTCTATTTCTAAATGCTTAAATGCTGGTAGTCCCACAACTAATCTCAGTCTAACAATACAAGAAGAAATATCTAAAGCATGATAAGGGATAAGATTCAAGCAGTTAACTCAGCTACCTGTATTGTTCTGTGTGTCTTGCCAACTCAGTGCCTCTCCCAATGAAAATGACAACTGAGACCACATACATTAATTTCTCATTCAAATATGAAACAGAGAAACCAAAAGGAGAACGAAAGAGAATACAGCTCTCCAATAACGGTTAATATCATCTTAAGCCTAAAAAGAATAAAATGGCAGTACTTTTCTATGAAGAACCTGAATTGTTAAAAGGCTTTATATATTAAAATACTACACAGTATTTAATTAAATCCATCCAAATAAAAGACTAGTAAAATAGAAAAAAAAATGTAATTAAATGAAAACCACATGTAGTTTATTCTTTGAACTATCATTATGGAAACATATTACACATGCTCTCGCTGAACATATGAGCTCTCACACAGCACTTTTCCAGTGCTGCAGAGCAGAAATGATTCCTGATATAGCAAACACTTCTAGTTAGCACTTCTTTCCTGTAAACTAAACTTAACTGTGCCTGTTTTTTACCTGATTTATTTAACTTACTTAACATTTTCTCTCAGTTGCTTCACTAGTTTAATATTAACATCTGCTTCCAACAAAGCGGTACAGACTTCTTTTAGCATAGCATTCAATACCTGAAAATAAAGAAATAAATGAAATTTAAAGTACCCAATGTATTAAGTTCCATAAAAACAATGGTTGATCAATTATATAACCATAGCTTAATAAAATAATACCACAATACTGGGTTTTTCAGTTAGTTCTGAAGAGAAAACTTTATTAAATGTAAGTCATTTTGTCAAAATAAGAAACCCCATTTAGTTTTACACACCCAAGTATTAATTACCACAATTTTATTCCTATGTAAAAGTAAGTATAGGCCGGGCATGGTGGCTCACGCCTGTAATCCCAACACTTTGGGAGGCCGAGGTGGGCAGATCACTTGAGGTCAGGAGTTCAAGACCAGCCTGGCCAACATGGCGAAACTCCATCTCTACTAAAAATACAAAAATTAGCTGGGCATGGTGGCATGTGTCTGTAATCCCAGTTACTCAGGAGGCTGAGGCTGCAGTGAACCAAGATAGTGTCACTGCACTCCAGCCTGGGCGACAGAGTAAGACTTTGTCTCAAAACAAAAAACAAACAAAAACAAAAACAAACAAAAAAACAAAAAAAACCACACATACAAAGTAATAATAATAAAGACAATATTCAAGCCAAAAAAAGTTTCTACAAATAGATGTTGCCTTTGATGTTTTCTAAGTTACTGAAGAGCTCCTGTTGTTATTACGTAGTGGTATATAGTCACAATATTTGCTTTTCTTTTTTTCTTTTTTTTTGAAACGGAGTTTCGCTATTGTTGCACAGGCTGGAGTGCAATGGCATGATCTCGGCTCACTGCAACCTCCACCTCCCGGATTCAAGCGAATCTCCTGCCTCAGCCTCCCTAGTAGCTGGGATTACAGGCACCTGCCATCACACCCAGCTAATTTTTTATACTTTTAGTAGAGACAGAGTTTCACTATGTCGGCCAGGTTGGTCTCAAACTCCTGACCTCAGGTGATCCACCCACTTCAGCCTCCCAGAGTGCTAGGATTACAGGTGTGAGCCACCATGCCCGGCTTAATATTTGCTTTTCTTAAAAACTGGACAACTGTGGAAGTAAATGTGACAGAAGAAAGTTAGCCAGTCTTGTCACTTTTACTTAGAGCAGCAGAATACAGCTGGAAAGGAGGCTAGCCTCTATTAATAACTTATTATCATCATATGTTTGTTGAATTGCAAGGCACTGTAGTTAAAAGGTCATAAAATTAAAAGTCTTAAGAAAAGATGAGGCTTTAGCCACTCATGTATATAAAGTGCTCACACACTAGAATGTAAGCTCTATGAGGGTAGGAATTTTAGTCTATTTTGTTCACCACTGTATCTCTTGTGCCAGCAAAAATGTCTGCAAAAACATAGGCCCTCAATTATTTGTTGAATGAACTCTCTCCTTCACCTCACTTTGTATGCCCTACAAGGAGAGGCTTATCAGTTTTCTCTATCCCTCATTAAAGGAGTCTGATAAAACTGGAACTGATCTTTCACTAGAGGGCTTTCTCCTTGTTAATTAGCTAGCAGCACAGTATCAAGAATAGAGAAGCTGCCAATTTAAGCAACAGCTGTTACTCTACTTCCCACCAAGAACTCCTCCCCCGGTTTCCTTTCCTTTCTACTATAAACACAAAGAACATAAGGGCTACCCAACAGGGAAAACTGTTTGGAAAGTTGTTTTATTTATTCTGAAATACAAGACCAAAAATGATTTAAGTTATGATTCATTATTTAATAAGAAGTATTAGAAAAAGCCCTGTATGAGGAATTAGGAAAAAAAAGGTTCTAATCCTGGTTCTTCCAAATAAATAATCACATGAAACTGACTTTCTGTTTCTGTTAAATAAGAGGCTGAACTAAATGATCTCTAAGATGGTCTCAAAATTATTTAATTCCATTAGCTTAGTGTTGAGATCAAATTCTACGTAAGAATTAGTTTTCTAACCTCCAAGTTAGAAAGTTCATTTGATACTTAAAACTATTTTCTATGGTAAATGCTATTTTCCTATTTTACACACTAAGGGATCTGAAGTTGAGTTGCCCAAATTTACATCGTGCAGCTACTAAATAGCTACAGTGGGACTCTAAACAATGCCTTCTAACACCAAATTCAGTACTTGCCCATTGTTAATACAAAATATAAAGTATACTTGTGAACCATAGTCATCTTTTTCAATTAGTAAACCATTAAGATACAATCTGTGGGAGACAAATGGAACAAAGAAATATCTTAAAACAATATAGCCAGGAAGAAAAGTATTTTAATATGATCTAAGGAGTGGCTTACAAAAATCTCCAAAAAACTGAAGATTTCAAAGAAAGTGAATCAAAACAGACAAGATGGAAATGCTAGCCTTTTACAAAACTGCTAAATAAAAGTCACAAAGAAAAGGACAGATAAACACAAGCCTAGCCAAGAAGAAAGAAGCAGGGTAATGAAATTTTAGGTCTTTATCAACAGAGAAAACAAAAGTACAGTTCCAGATTTAAGACACTTTCAAACGATAAAATATGTCATTTTTACATGTAAGCTAAGGTCAGTTTTGTTTTGGATTTTTTTTGGAAAATTCTTTATAGAAAGTTGAAGTAAATTTGAAGTTGTAGTTAATTTCTCAATAAAACACTACTTACTGAATCCACTTCTAGGTTTCTGTCTACAAGTATTAAGTCTACATCAAAATACATATAAATACAGAGATTATTAATAAGCCATCTTCCCAATGCTAGTGATAATATACAATCATATGTATTTTTCATACAATATTTTACATACCTCTTCATTGATAATGGTGGCATTACTCAACGAGCGTAATGCTGATGTTATTTTTCTTCCAAGGTCTGCTAGAACCATCTTGACAGCTTTAAGATGTACTTACGAAGAACTCTGGAGAGGAAAAAAAATTAAATGAAAATAATCAATTTCATTTTCCATGACTGAAGAGTTCTAAAGAGTATTTCAGTTCAAATCACTCTAGTGTTTAGATACTGTAATTTCACCTTCCATAGCCTCAACCTGTGCTTAAATACAGTCATGTCATAAAGATAAAACTGCCACTTGGTTATGATGCCTTATATTCAAATACTTAATTGGAATCTTGCATATGAATCAGCAAATTTAACATGTCAAATAATATACTTTGAGGAAATAATGACAAACTCACATTAAATGTGTTCTTTTTTTTTTGGCACAATACTTATACTGAATTATGTATGTATCATACACATTTTTAAATTAAAAGAGAAAAATAAGGTGAAATCTTCAGGAATATTGCCTAATTTCCTACATTAAAGGACTCTGCAAACTATTTTGATTCTTGCTCCCAAGCAAAAAAAAAAAAAAAAGAAAGAAAAAAGTTTTAATAACTTTTCTAGTACAAAAAAGCAACTGTTGAGCTATTAGCTATATTAAAGCACTGTACTAAGTGATTCCACATACATTATTTCATTTTATTCTTCTAACCACAAAGGAAAGAGGTATATTATTTTACTCTTTTTTTTTTTTTTTTTGAGACATGGTCTTACTCACTGTCACCCAAGTTGGAGTGCAGTGGTGTGATCGCAGCTGACTGCAGCCTCAACTTCCTGGGAGCAGGCAATCCTCCTGCCTTAGCCTCCCAAGTAGCTGGGACCACAGATGCCTGCCACCATGCCCAGCTAATTTTTATTATTTGTAGAGACGCGGTCTCACTATACTGCCAAGGCTGGTTCTCTTCCTATTTTAAACCTGTTTCTGATTCCAGGAAAACTCTAACATAAGATAACAATTTAAGTTATCATTTATTATTAATAAGAATTACTAGAAAAAACCCTGGATGAGGAATTGAAAATAAAATTCTAATCCTGGTTTTTCCAAAAAATAGTCACATGCAACAGACTTTCTGTTTCAGTTAAATAAGAGTCAAAAACCCTTTCCAGCTCTAAAATCTTACTATTTTATAAAGTATTATATATTAGATGTACTTACTACTTGTAAGGATGCAAGGGCTTATGGGTGATAAACAAGCAAATATGGTTTGTAGTCCCTGCCCTCAAGACGCTTATTTACTAGCTGGTAAGACAAGGCACATAAATGAACACTAAAATAAACACTAAGAGAGAATTCCTCCTGTTTGACTGCTTACTATCAGGGACATCAGCTTTTCTTGCCTTCAAACTGAAACAATGGTTCTTTGTGGGTCTCAAGCATTTGGATTAAAAGAACATCAATGGCTCTCTGAGTTCTCAGGCCTTCAGATTCAGACTGGATCTACACCATGGGCTCTCCTGGGTCTCCAGCTTGCCAACTCATCCTACAGATCTTGAGATTTAAGTCTCCATAACGGCCTGAGCCAATTCCTTATAACAAATATCTATCTTTATATCCATCTCTCTACATATATATTTATACACACACACACACATTCACATACTTTATTGATTCTGCTTCTCTGGAACAAGAAAAAAAAAAAAAAGAAATAGGAAGAAAAAGGCCAGGTACAGTGGCTCAAGCCTGTAATCCCAGCAGTTTGGGAGGCCAAGGAAGTAGGATCACTTGGGCTCAGGAGTTGGAAACTAGCCTGGGCAACATAGCAGGACCTCATCTCTTGAAAAAAAAAAAAAAAAAAAGTAGCCAGGCATGGCGGCATGTGCCTGTAGTTCCAGCTACTAGGGAGGCTGATGGGAGGATTGCTTGAGCTAAGGAGGTCATGATCACACTACTGCACTCCAACCTGGGTGACAGAGTGCAACTCTGTCTCCAAAAAAAAAAGAAAAAAGAAAAGGAAGAATTTTAGACTAAGGCAGAGGGTACAGGCTTTATTGGAAAGACTGAGTATGAATTTGGTCCTGAAATAATAGTAGAATTTTAGTAAGTGGAGAAGACAAAAAGGAATTTGAGGAAGATGAAATAGCATAGTCAGAAATGGAGAGAGAGACAAGTCTGGGACACACTTATGCCTTATATATGCACTGTACTTATGGATCACTGAGCATTATTTAGGGGACAGGAAACAAAACATTCAGGTCAGGACAGAGGGGTATACAGTTAGAAGGAAACAGAGATTTCAAAGGGCTCTAAAAACAAGGTCTGGGGAATATCAATTTTCCAATATGAACAATATTAGCAGAAAAGGTAACTCTTCAAAACAACTGTTTTGGTAACCCTTCTGAGCTAATGTAGTCTAATTTAGTCAACCAAGATTATCCAGACTAGATCCCCTCTACAAAATACACAGGGGATTAAAAACAAGAGAAACAGGGCCGGGCGTGGTGGCTAACGCCTGTAATCCCAGCACTTTGGGAGGCCGAGGTGGGTGGATCATCTGAGGTCAGGAGTTCGAGACCAGCCTGGCCAACATGGCAAAACCCCGTCTCTACCAAAAAAAAAAAAAAAAAAAAAAAAATTAGCTGGGCATGGTGGCAGGCACCTGTAATTCCAGCTACTCGGGAGGCTGAGGCAGGAGAAACACTTGAAGATGGGAGGCAGAGGTTATAGTGAACTGAGATCGCACCATTACACTCCAGCCTGGGCAACAAGGGTTGATACATCCGTATTAAAAAAAATAAATTTGGGGCTGGGTGCAGTGGCTCACGCTTGTAATCCCAGCACTTTGGGAGGCCGAGGCGGGCGGATCACCTGAGGTTGGGAGTTTGAGACCACCCTGACCAAAATGGAGAAACCCCGTCTCCATTAAAAATACAAAATTAGCCGGGTATGGTGGCACATGCCTGTAATGCCAGCTACTTGGGAGGCTGAGACAGATGAATCGCTTGAACCTGGGAAGTGGAGATTGCGGTAAGCCAGAGATCGCGCCATTGCACTCCAGCCTGGGCAACAAGAGCGAAATTCCGTCTCAATAAATAAATTAATTAATTTTAAGACAAACAGGAAAATTAAATAGCTGACTCATTCACCATAGAGAAAGCAAAGAGGTGAGAGGAATCAAAAAAAGGCAGGAAGGGAAAATGCATTCGAGGACCTATCACTGGCAAACATATATCCCAGGCTGAGCTATAAATTAAACACTACACTTTTACTCAAGTACAATTTGGTAATTTAGAACTTTAAAAAAACTTACTACCAATACTTGATGAAATTGAAAAAAAATTGCTTACCATAAGATTTTTTTACAATTACATTGTTACTTAACCTGAGAGCCAACTACTTCATGGAAAAGATCCAGGACTTATTTCTTATGCCATACCCATTATACAAAATAATTATTGATCCTTAATTAATATTCTTCATTTAAGAAATAAGATTCAGATGTTTCAGTTCATATCCTTTACCGTGGTACTGGGAGTGATATAATCCTATTCATGACACCACAATTAACTTTTTTAGAGGTCATGTCATAAACAGATCATCCTTCATTTTAAAAAGCTGTACTAGGACAAGCATGGTGGCTTAGGTCTGTAAGCCCAGCCCTCTGGGAGGCCGAGGTGGGCAGACTGCTTGAGGTTGGGAGTTCAAGACCAGTCTAGTTGACATGGTGAAATCCCATCTCTACAAAATATACAAAACTTGGTCGGGTATGGTGGTGCACTCCAGTAGTTCCAACTACTCAGGAGGCTGTGGCAGGAGAATCACTTAAACCCGGGAAGTGGAGGTTGCAGTGAGCCGAGATCACATCATTGTATTCCAGCCTGGGAGACAGAGTGAGACTCCATCTCTAAATAAATAAATAAATAGATAAGCTATACTAGTTAACTTTTTTGGGGGCAAACTCTAGGAAGTGTCTTTAACTTTTTTAATTAATTTATTTTAGATTCAGAGGGTACATGTGTATATTTGTTACATCAGTATACTGTGTAATGCTGGGGACTGGGCTTATACACGTATGACCCAAATATTGAAACTTGAACCCAAGACGTACTTTTTCAATCTTCAGTCTCCTCCCAAACTCCCCCATTTTGGAATGCTCTGTGTCTACCATTTTCATCTTTATGTCCATGTGTATCTATGTTTAGCTCCCACTTATAAGTGAGAAGATGAGATATTTGATTTTCTGTTTCTGAATTAGCTCTCTTAGGATAATGGCCTCCAGCTCCATCCATGTTGCTGCAAAGGACATGATTTCATTCTTTTTATGGCTGCCTAGTTAATTCTTAAATATAAATCTAACTTTCCATGTTAACTGGTTGTTTTAAATTAAAAAATTTAAAAAACTTCTGTGAGGTTTTCCAATATACTTTTCCTTCTGTAAGTAGTTACTGGCAGTATATTTTAAAACATTTTTGCCTTAAATTAAAAAATATATATACTTTATTATATAATACATGAATACATATAGTTTTAATACATAAAATAATAAAATCTCTCTGGGCCCAGTGGCTCATGCCTGTAATCCCAGCACTTTGGGAGGCCAAGGCGGGTGGATCACCTGAAGTCAGGAGTTCAAGACCAGCCTGGCCAACATGGCAAAACCCCATCTCTACTAAAAACACAAAAATTAGCCGTGGTTGGTGGCACATGCCCAGAATCCCAGCTACTCGGGAGACTGAGGCAGGAGAATCGCTTGAACCAGGAGGTGGAAGTTGCAGTAAGCCGATATGGCGCCACTGCACTCCAGCCTGGGTGACAAGAGCGAAACTCCGTCTCAAAAAAACAAAACACAAAAACAATAAAATAAAATCTTGCATTTCAGTAGAGAAATAAGAACATCTAATAATACTTTTCATTTACAGTGTTTCCTCTACAGTGTCTAAGGATGATGTGTTCCTGAAAACTCCGTGTTAGAATTTTGCTTAAAATCTCAATACACACAGATGTAAAGTCCGCAGAATGGACTGTAAGGCCCCCTCAACATACATACACACACACACACACACACACACACACACACACACACACACACACACACACGAATGATTTTAATCATACTGACCTCCTAGCCATTGCCGCTACACATTTCCACCTCAGTGTCTCAGTACTAGCCGGCATGCTCTTCCTCTGCTTGACAACATAACTCCCTCCCTCATTTCCTTCAGATTTGTCCAGATGCCATTACTCAATGAGGTCTTCCCTAATCACTTATTTAAAACTGCAACCCCCTTCCCTATATTTTTTCCTATTGTTCTATTATCAACTGACATATGGCTTATTTATATTATTTGTCATCTATAATCTCACTATTGAAATGTAAACTGCAGCTAGGCACGGTGGCTCATGCCTGTAATCCCAGCACTTTGGGAGGCCGAGGTGGGTGAATCTCCTGAGGTCAGAAGTTCGAGACCAGCCTGGCCAACATGGTGAAACCCCGTCTCTACTAAAAATATCAAAATTAGCCAGGCATGGTGGCAGATGCCTGTAATCCCAAGTACTCAGAAGGCTGAGGCATGAGAATCACTTGAACCCAGGAGATGGAGCTTGTGGTGAGCCCAGATCGTGCCACTGCACTTCAGCCTGGGTGAAAGAGCAAAACTCCATCTCAACAAAAAAAAAAAAAAAAAAGAAAAAGAAAAAAAAAATTTAACCTACATAAGGGCAGGGATTTTTGCCTCTTTTGCTTTCTCCTGTGAGTTCACTGCTTTATCTATCTATCCTCAGTCTTACATAGTAAATCCTTAATAAAAATGAACATTATGAATGAATGAAATGATGTATTTAAGGCCTTAGGGAAAAAGTGAGACCAAAGAACTAAAGTCATGAAAGGCATTGCAAATACTTGTTAAAAGCCACCAAAATAAATCAATGAAGATAATATGATGAATCAAAAGAAAATCAGTAACTTGGGTAATTTATACTGTACATTAAATATATCTATTTGTCATTACTTATAATTCTTCTTCAGAATTTCCCTGTCATGCATTTCCAACAAGATACTTAAAAATTAATCTCACCTTGTTCTAATATGTACAGTAAAGTGCAAAACACCTTTTGTATGTTAATAGCTAAGCCTTAATCTCAGATTGGAGTAATCTACAATTCAAGGACACTCTCAAGATTCTCTTGCCTAACTAAAACGAATTTATAGAAATCAATCTGGATATGCTAGAATTTCACAAAAGAAGAATCTCTACTTAGATGGGGCTTTTAGAAAGGTAACAGATTAGCACACAGTACTTTTCTACAGTTGAACATCTATTACCTCAATCCACTCTTACAACAATTTTACGATATAAGTAGGATAGGGAATAGAACAGCCATTCCCTGCCAAAAAAAGCAAAATGACTTCCCACAGTCCTTTGGCTAGAGTATGAATGATGCTTTAAATTATAGGGCTGAATATACCTGCTGGAAACTGCAAGGACAAATTTTGCTGCTATGCCATAATGGGAGAAATCATATTTTAATCATATTTAAAGATATATATTCCTCTTTGTGAAGGCATAATTGCAACATTCACAAAGACATGATAAGTATCACTGCAATCAGAATAGTACATACAAGGACTGATCCTGGCTCGAGTTACAGGGTCTTCTAACTGGGGTCTGACTAGGATTTAGATAGTGAGCAATGGAAACAGGCTGAAGTTTGGGGTGCCCTAAGTAAGGTAAGCACAGGGCCAAGTATCACACTTACTGCTGCAGTGTGAAGTACTGGAAAGAGCATAGACTTTGGAGTCTGACAGACTTAGATTCAAATCCTAGCTCTGTTATATACTGGCTATGTTACTTTGGGCATTTACTTAATCTCTCTGAGCCTCACTTTCCTCACTTGCAAAATGGAGATAATACCATTACCAAGGTAGATACCTTGAACACCTGTTGTGAGGATTAAATGAGACAATACGTATAAAGCTGTCTTCAAAAACCTAGCAGATTAACTATTAACTTCCTTTCTTTTTTTAATGATACAGAGTATCTATCTCTGTATTATCTGGAGTGTAAGTAAGGTGGACATTTTCTGAACAATCTTACTAAAGTGTCTGTCCCATCATCCAGGAGCCACTCCTGGTATCTTTAAAATTTAGTGCCAATTACAACTGCCAGATTCTTATTCAACAGAAGCTGCAGTGTCCAAAAACCCACCTTCCTCTACATAAACAATTATAAATATTCATGTCAGATTTGTCTGATTTGAGATTATAAAACAGAGTCTAATGATCAGATATGTCAAATCCTATTACAACACAATCCCTACAAAAAAGTTCTTTTTTTATTTTTTGAGATGGAGTTTCACTCTTGTTGCCCAGGATGGAGTGCAATGGGGCAATCTCAGCTCACTGCAACCTCCAGAGCAGCTGGGATTACAGGCGCCTGCCACCACGCCCAGGTAATTTTTTGTATTTTTAGTAGAGACAGGGTTTCACCATGTTGGTCAGGCTGGTCTTGAACTCCTGACCTCAGATGATCCATCCGCCTCAGCCTCCCAAAGTGCTCAGATTATAGAGAGGCGTGAGCCACTGCACCTGGCCAAAAGTTCTTTCTTCTAAGTCCTTGTCAATGACTTTTTGAATCAATACTAGCCTCAAGAACTAAATATACTTAGAAAAATTACTTCTACATAGTATAATCAGCCTTCTGTATCCGGGGCTTCACAACCATGGATTCAACCAACCACAAATCAAAATGTTCAGGAAAAAAACTGTGCCTGTAGTGAACACGTACAGACTTTTCTTGTCATTATTTCCTTTTTTTTTTTTTTTTTTTTTTTGAGACGGAGTCTCGCTGTGTCGCCCAGGCTGGAGTGCAGTGGCCGGATCTCAGCTCACTGCAAGCTCTGCCTCCCGGGTTTTTACGCCATTCTCCTGCCTCAGCCTCCCGAGTAGCCGGGACTACAGGCGCCCGCCACCTCGCCCGGCTAGTTTTTTGTATTTTTTAGTAGAGACGGGGTTTCACCGTGTTAGCCAGGATGGTCTCGAACTCCTGACCTCGTGATCCGCCCGTCTCGGCCTCCCAAAGTGCTGGGATTACAGGCTTGAGCCACCGCGCCCGGCCTCTTGTCATTATTTCCTAAACAATACAGTATAACGAGTATTTACTTAAGTATATAAATATGGTATAACAACTATTTACATTTTGTATTAGGTATTTATAAATGATCTAGAGATGCTTTAAAGTATATGGAAGGATGTGCATAGGTTATAAGCAAATACTATGCCATTTTATATCAGGGACTTGAGCATCCTCTGATTTTGGTCCTGGAATCAATCCCCCCAAGATACCAAGGGACAACCGTATACTTTTCTATAAAGTAGTCAAAGGCTAATAACCAGTATTTGCTTTTCTGACTTTAATATTAAATATTTTTCTTAATTCTGCACAGCATATGTGTTCACAGTCTAGGACCACAGAAAAGTAAATTTAGTTAACAAAATGGCCTGTAAGTATTGTATTTAGTAAAAAAAAAATATATAT